CCGTCGAACAACAAATTGATGATAGGGTTTCTGCTGCCGTCGCCAAAGAAGTTGACAGCCTAAAGAAGTGCATAGCGACGGTAGGAAACAATTCTGAAGGTTTCAAATTTTTATCGATGCCTGCTCGTTCCGTTCTGAAACTATCTACATATGATGGGAAGACCTCCTGGCAGGTGTATAGGACACAATTTTCTATCGTTTTCGGATGCGAATGGATGGGATTCCCAAGCTAAGGCCTGTCATCTCGCCGCTTCTCTGAGAGCAGACGCAGCGGATATCCTGCAGACGCTTCCCGAAAATCAAAGGCTAGATTTCGAAGCTCTATCCGGCGCTTTGGAGCTGCGCTTCGGCGAGAAATGTTTAAAAGACTGCAGCAGGCTCCAATTAAAATCTCGTCAACAGAAGCTCACCGAAACGCTTCAGGAGCTCGCCACGGATGTTGAAAGGCTGTCACATCACGCCTTTTCGGAGTGCCCGACAGAAACAAGGGAAATCCTGTCCCTGCAATATTTCATCGATGGCATCCGGGACCCTGAAATACAGAAAGCACTGCGAATGGCGGATGTTAAAGATCTGAAAAGCGCTTTAGTGTATGCCATGAAATTTGAGGCAGCCCAGCAAGCCACCCGTCGAGACCGCCATCCAGTCAGAGCTGTGCGAGTCCATGAGCCAGTGGATCAACTGATGGCTCGTTTAGATGATTTAGCCAGACAAGTCGATGCTTTGATACAGAGTAGGAGCGAGAAGAAAGTGGCTCTAAGGTGTTGGAGATGTGGTAGTGAAGGTCACCTAAGACGGAATTGCAGAACACCCCAGGGTACGGAATATAAAGCAGATGATTTTACCAGACAGTCAGTGGCTTGAGACGGAACAGAAGTGAAAAGAAAGTAGTTCTAAAGTGCTGGAACTGCGGAGTTGAAGGCCACATACGAAGAAACTGCAGAACACCCCGAGGTACGGAAAATAAGACCATTTCCCAGCAACGAACGCAGTAAACAAATTAGTGACCATATCGCAGAGGAACGGAGTTTTGCCAGATAATGAAAAACCTTGTTTTAAAGCGCTTAAAATTTATACAGTGAGTGGCAACAATAACGGACTGTCCATCAATGGGAATATATCGATGGAGTTCCTTGCAATATGATCATTGACACAGGAGCTAATGTTACCATCATTAGGAAAGATTTAGCTGAAAAGTTTAAAGATAAACTTATTTGGACGCCATCCTGTGTTACCCTTCAGACTGCGTCTGGTGACAAGATCGACATAGCTGGGAAGTTAAAACGTGAAATCACATTTGGAAGTGCCGCCTACCATCACACACACACAGTATATGTGGCGGATATTACAGATCCATGCATACTCGGATTGGACTTTTTAAGGAAATACAATTTTTCCTTAGACTTGAAAAACAACAAACGGCTTTCAGGGTCTGAAGACATGACTATCCATCCTAAGAAGGGATCCTCACCCTGAAATGCCGACGCTTTGTCCGAAATTACAGTCACCTTGGGATGGCCCGTATACAGTCCTAAAAAGGCTGAATGACGTCGTGGTTCGGATTCGTAAGTCTTCGAACTCTAAACCTAAAGTCGTTCATTACGACAGGTTAGCTCATTACTATGGCCATAGTACGTAATGTAAATAATTGTAAATATTATCAGACCATGGTCCTTTTTGTTTATAAATGTGTATTTGATTTGATTTGTATTTAGTATTTGATTTGCATTTAGTATTTGATTTGTATTTAGTATTTGATTTGCATTTAGTATTTGATTTGTATTTAGTATTTGTTTTGTATTTAGTATTTGATAGCATTTGATTTGTTTAAGTTAGTTATTGCATTTATTGTTTATATTGTTTGATATTGCAATGTAATGTTTATGCCACAGTCGTAAGTTTAGCTTCCTGTCCAGGGATTGTACTGCCCGGGACGTGCAGTCCTTGGGAAGAGCGCAGTGTTACGAATTTGGTATTTAAAAAGCTAATGTTAGTTCAATTATAAATTAAATGGTTTTATTTCTCGCGCAGTGCAGCGCGTGACGAATATTAAAAGAAAGCTAAGCCGGAAAATTGAAAATACAAGAGCGCGTGCATGTAACATTTAAATAAATATCTCTTTTTTGATTTCGAGAAAGTGCTGGAAAATTCTAGCGCGTGATTTTAAAATCTTATAAAAGGAGGAAAACATGTCAGTTTGTAGTAGTTGCTTAGTTTGTTGTTGTTTAGAAAACTGCTCTTGTTGATTGTTGCGAATTCGCGGATTAGCGTTCTTTAGCTGTTTAGAATTACGTTCTACTGGACATTTGAGTAGTTAAAAGAAAACTACTGTGAGATATTGTAATACTGCATGATAATTTGAGAAAATTTAAGCATTTTTTTTTTGTTGTGATAATAATAAATTTTTGTTCATTTTTCATCGGACTTGTGCATTCATTTCGTAACGAATCCGTACGCACGCAACAGTATTATATACCAACAATATTAGTGTCTAGGAATAGCAGAAATTGACTCAGTCAAAAAAGTTATTTTCATGAAATATAGTTTTTATTGAAGGTAATCAAGGAGTTTGAGAACCCACGTGTTCGACGACTGTAAGAGATAATTTATAAGAGAATATTCAGTCAAAGACAGCTTCAAAAATCTCTTCGTTTCGAGCTTTTTTCGAAACCAGCGTTCATTAAACATAGTTAATATCCTTTTTATATTCATTTATAACAAAACTCAAAATTGTGATAAAAGAGACACAGCTTTGAGTCTTTTAAATGCCTTATTAACGAAATGCAAGAAACTAAATTTGAGCTGAAATCATATTGAAATTTTATGCAAGAAAGATATTTTTAAATGCTTCTGGATTTGACGTTATTGTTTCATACATTTTTATTGCAAATATGACTTCGTAATTTGTACAGTCATTAAGGTGTTTTTTTTTTTTTTTTTTTTTTTTTTTTTTTTTGACGCAGGAGACAGGAAAATGAGCAATACCGTCATTGGGATTCGAATATGAACTTCTCGAATACGATCCAACTGTGCTACCGGAAGGAAGGAGAAAATACCTTATAAATTATTTTTTATTTGTTATAAAACGTGTGATTTTTAACTGTGTGGTTTAACAACTTTAATGTACACAAATAACGTTTCGAAATTTATTCTATACTGAATCTAGCGAACTTGTAAAACTACCTTGATATTTCAGGAAATCTCGAGAAAAATTATACTGCACACGAGTATTTGAGAAAAACCATCGTTTCCACTATCTCTTACCTGCTCAAGCACCCGTCAGCGAATTTATTTACATAAGAGTGACGATGCTGTAAGGAAGAATTCAATATATTTGAGCAGTGGTGATTTTTCTCTTTTATTGAAAATATCTTCGGGTCAGCCATTTTCAAACACATTGCATATTCTACCAAAAAATTTGGATGACTAAGGGAAGAATTGCTTATTTTTATTAATAATAGTAAATATTAAATTAATAAGCTAAGAAATGCATACTAACCCTATTAAAAAATAATTATTGGGAATAAGAATATAAAAATGGAATCAGAGCTCTCATTTTTGCATATATTCTTAAAAAACACACACAATATTAAAATAAGATTTATTTTATCCTTGTATTAGGAGATAGTACTTTATACTTATTTATTTCCTAACATAAACATGAAGTATAGAACAAGCAAAAAGACATTTATAAATACAAAAAACGTAAGTGATGCCATTCACAAAAAGAGTAATGTTATTTTTAATAGTTCGCTGGCTTTGCCGCAACATTCTCCCCGCCCTGGTCAACCTCCAGGGGATGACCAGCTGCACAGGTCGGATAATGGTATGTCCATTGGTGCGCAGAACACAAGTACGGACTCTTTTGTCGCGGCCAAGGATTAGCTCCTCAACAGGGGCCTTCTTCCAGGTGTGGCGAGGTCTAACATCTTCTTGTAGTAGGACTTGATGAAATGTACGCAAGTCCATCAAATATTCCTTTTGCCATCTTTTCCAAAAGGAGTCCATCAAATGTTGACGATTTTTCCACATATGATTTAAATTTGTTTCAGGATTTGTGGGGCTGGAAGGAATAGTGGTTAATTTCTATCCTATGAAGAAGTGCGAGGGTGTTAAAGCTTCCTCAGAATCATCTTTTATTCCATATTCGTGGACAATCGGTCTACTGTTAAGAGCGGCTTCAATATCACATAATACAGTGATCAAACCAGCGTCATCCAAAAGAGCCTTACCTAATGTTTTCCGAAGGCATCGCTTAATTGAGCCAATCATTCTTTCCCACCATCCTCCCCACCAAGCCGCTCGGGGGGCGATGAATTTCCATTTGATGTTGTGGTGGGCATAAAACTGTTGTGCCTTGGCAGAGGATATAGTATCCCACAATAACTTCAGCTCTTTGTCCGCAGCGCAGAAAGTTGTGGCATTATCAGTGTACACTGTATGAGGAAGTGAACGTCTAGAGACAAAACGTTGTAATGCAAGTAGGAAGACGTCAGTACGCAGATCGGAAACTAATTCTAAGTGGATAGCTCGAGTTGTAGCACATGTGAAGATGACAATGTAGGAGCTTTTGTAACGGAGTTATTATTTTTTACGTAGAGTGGTCCAGCAAAATCAATTCCGGTAGTTTCGAAAGGAGATGACTTTTGAATTCGCTCAGCTGGTAATGGAGCTTCTATCTGTTCACTTCTCTTTTGTTTCAGTACTTTACATGGAAGGCAAGTCTTTATCACTTTTTTAATGGCTTGTCTTGCTCTTAATATCCAATATTCTGAACGAAGCTGAGAAAGTACAATCCGAACACCGAGATGATGCATTCGTAAATGTGTTTGGCGTATCAGTAGGCTTGTAAAAGGATGAGAACCTTCCAATAATATGGGATGTTTTTCAGCATGAGATAAATCAGAAAATTGTAGTCGACCACCAAGAAGTATAATATTCTTCTTGTGGAAAAGGGTTAAATTGTTTTATCCTTGATTTCTTAGGGAGTGATTTTCCTGTCAACAGAGCTTCATATTCTGAAGGAAAGGATTCTTTTTCTGAACGGTCTGTATCCAATAAATACGAGCTTGATTCAGTTCTGTGGCATGTAACTCACCCACTAACTTTTTTTGTTTCCTACAGTTGTGAATAAAGCGAAGAATCCAAGATGTTACACGTAACAATCGAACGTAAGAACTGTAGTTTCCAGCCTTTATGATTGGTTGAGTAGATACGATGTGAAGGGTCTGAACTTTTTCTTTCTTTGCCTCGAAGTTATGACTGTAATCTTTAGAAATAGTATCAGAATGAGGCCAATATTCTAGAGATTTGACTAACCATGGAGGGCCGTTCCACCAAATTTCCAGGTTTTTTAGTGTTGATGGTGAAACACCTCGAGAAAGTTTGTCAGCTGGATTGTCTTTGCCAGGGCAATGTCTCCATTGTGAAGGATTGGTATAGGAAATAATTTCTGTTACTCTGTTGCTAACAAAAGTTTTCCATTTGTTGGGGTCACTGCGTATCCACCCTAAGACAACTTGAGAATCACTCCACAATGTTGCATTTGACGAACAGATGTTTGTTTCAGCACAGAAATATTGCAACAATCGTGCTCCCATCAGGGCGGCCAAGAGCTCCAAACGAGGTAAGGTAACTTTCTTTATAGGAGCTAGTTTGTTGCGACTACACACTAAATTCACATTCGATTGGTCACCTTTAAAGGTAACAATGTACAGAACTGAACCATAGGCACGTTCAGATGCGTCACAAAACACATGAATAGCAAAAGGAACATGTGATGAAATCCCTATGCATCGAGGAATTTGAAGGGAGCAAATGTCATCAAGTTCTTTCACAGCTGCATACCATAAAGTTGATAAATTAGCAGGTAGTAATTCATCCCACTTGATTCCAAGAATCCATGTATCTTGGAATAAGATTTTCCCAAGAATAGTAAACGGTGAAAAAAAGGCCTAAGGGATCATAAAAACTAGCAATGCAGCGGAGTAACCATCTCTTTGTAAGTGGTTTGTCTGTAGAAACACAGAGGGAAGTCTTGAATGCATGCTTCAAAGTATCAGAAGTTGTATTCCAGCCAATACCTAAGACAGTTGTTTCCGTTTTGTGAGATTCTTCATGTGTTTGTAGTACATCTTTGAGTTTCAAAGAGTTTGTAGCCCATTTTTCCATAGGCAATTTTATTAGAGCCATTAAATTCTTGATCTCGTGATATAGCATTATAATGCGTGATTCAGTTTCCATACTAGCAAGAAAGTCATCCATATAGAGATGTTTATCTATCATTGGTGCAGCAATTGGAAATTCTGCGATATGTTTTGCAGCCAATTCTCGTGTCGCAGCACAGAGTAAAAACGGACTGCAAGTAAGGCCAAATGGTAAACGAGTAAATCTGTAAACAGTTATTTCATCTGTAAAAGTAGTAGGTTGAGATGAATCAGATTTTAATTTGTACCAGAAAAATTTTGTGACGTCCCTATCTTCTTTATGTAGTGACAACTGTAAAAAAGCTTGCTTACCATCACATGTAACAGCGAATTCATGCAATCGAAATCTTAGTAGACAACCAATAGATTCAGGAAGAAGATTCGGGCCAGCTTCCAAGGTATCGTTCAGTGAAATCATTCCTGGAGCATGCGAGGAAGCATCAAACACAATTCTCCACTTGGTTTCAGATTGTGTTTTCTTTCTTACAGCATGATGAGGAAGGTAATATACTGGCTTCTCATTGGATTCATCTATGGAACAAACTTCAACATGCTTTTGTTCAATGTAATTCAGCATGCATTTGTCATATTGTGTCTTTAACACATCACTAGATGCAAGTCTTTTTTGAAGAGAATGAAATCTGTTTTCCGCTATAATTTTGTTTGTAGGCAAAGGTGTGACCAATGGTTTTCTAGGCAGAGACACAATTCTTCGATTGTCTTCAGTGTTGTAAGTTTTGTGAAATTCTGATAAAATTTCTTCATCATCTCGAGTAGTCATTTTTCGTTTCTTCTTTTCTTTTCTGCGCATCTTGTATCCCTATGGAGTCTAATTCCCAGAAGCGACGTACCTGATCATTTAAACAATCAGTTTTAACTTGCACACAAACTTGATGGACAGAAGTCTTCTCAGCGATTGTAGTATGTGTTCTTGTTCCACTAAGAACCCATCCAAACACTGACGGTACCATAACAAAAGATTCTGAAAGCTTGATTGGAGCTTCTGTGGAAACAATTTGCCAATAATGATCACCACCAATAAGTATTTCTATGGGCAGTGAAGAGTCATCCGGAGGATCAGCAATTCTCAATCTTTTCTTCTGAGCAAAGTGAACTATTTCTGGTGGAGCAGTAGGATGTGTAGTATAGGAATTGGAGCTTTCAAATGCGGAGATCAAAAATGATTGGTTGCTCCACAAACTTGAAAGTGACAGTTGAACACATCTACGTTGTTCTTGTGAAGTAAAAGATTCAAATGCTTGAACTGAAAGTGAGGCAGAACTGACAACTTTAAGCTTCAGTTTTGCAATGAGGTTTGTGTGAACAAAACTTGCTTGGCTACCACCATCTAAAATGCAACGTGTAATGCCTGTGGTAATGCCTGTGGCGCCAGTAACGTACACAAGTATTTTTCATGGGCAGTTTGAAACTCTATGACCACGGTTAGTACACAGAAAGCAGCGATTTGAAGTTTTAAGTTTCTGAACACGAGTATCATAGTCTGTAACAGTTTCACAATATTGAGGCCAATGTCCTGTAGTATCACAAAATGAACAAAATGGTGAAATTTTTTTACGTTTGTTTACTGTTTTGAAATTGATATTAAAATTTTCTACAGTGCACATTACGGTGCGATCAGAAAAAGACGTAGCTTTAACTCTTTGTGCTGCAACTACACCTTCCACTTCTTCTGCCAAGAAATGCATCAATCTAGTAATTATCTTCGTGAAATGATTGGTTGCTCCACAAACTTGAAAGTGACAGTTGAACACATCTACGTTGTTCTTGTGAAGTAAAAGATTCAAATGCTTGAACTGAAAGTGAGGCAGAACTGACAACTTTTAGCTTCAGTTTTGCAATGAGGTTTGTGTGAACAAAACTTGCTTGGCTACCACCATCTAAAATGCAACGTGTTAATTTAGTAATGCCTGTGGCGCCAGTAACGTACACAAGTATTTTTTCTTGGACAGTTTGAAACTCTATGACCACGGTTAGTACACAGAAAGCAGCGATTTGAAGTTTTAAGTTTCTGAACACGAGTATCATAGTCTGTAACAGTTTCACAATATTGAGGCCAATGTCCTGTAGTATCACAAAATGAACAAAATGGTGAAATTTTCTTACGTTTGTTTTGGAATTGATATTAAAATTTTCTACAGTGCACTTTACGGTGTGATCAGAAAAAGACGTACCTTTAACTCTTTGTGCTGCAACTACACCTTCCACTTCTTCTGCCAAGAACTGCATCAATCTAGTAATATTACCTTCGTTTAGTTTTTCACGCTTGGCATAGATAATCCAGCGGCAACAAATATCATTGGGGAATGCACGAATAATTTTTGGCACTAGGATTCTACCGTACCGTATGCTTCAATATTTTCACCCAGAGCAGTTAAAGCTTGAATTCTTCTGTTACATTCTATGTAAAGATCATTTAGATGCGTAGGAGATGGGTCTTGAATAACATTTAAATGTTCTAAGTAATCTAAGTGTGATTGGATAATTCGATCTTTATTTCCATATCTTTCCTCCAACAATTTTTTTGTTGTTTCATAGGTGTCTCCTATTACACTAATTCCATCAACAAGGCGTTTAGCTTCACCATCTAAATAACCTCTGAGGAAAACATGTTTATCAATAACAGAAAGATGTGGATTGGCATCTATAGAAGATTTAAACTGTTCCCAAAAACATTGCCACTGTTCAATTTCTCCTGTAAATGACTGTAGTTTAATTGTTGGCAATTTAACTGTATATGGTTGAGTCATAGGCACTGTAGTAGGAGGGTCGCCAATTGTCATCGCTAAATCATTGGTATCCATATTCGAAGCAGTAACATTATTTGGAGTTGGCGATAATTTATTTTGAATAATTTTTCGTGCTTTGAAAATTGCGGATTCACCAGTATCTATGTAGTTTATACACACTAAATTATCACTTTCATATTCATCGTCAGAAAGGAAGTTGTGAATTTCGTTATCTATCAGTTTCATATCATTTAAAGCAGTTGTTAAGCGATTACAAATATATTGAAACTTTCTCAATTGAGAAATCATCGTTCAAAGTATCAATTTCAGTAGAAAAGCGAGAAACATTACTTCGCACGGCTTTCCGCTTTCGTTTCAGTTGCGTCATTTTGTCTACAGCTTCACCGGTCGGCGCCATTGCCCGAGTAGTAGAAAAGAACAAAAAAAAAACTAAGTTTTAATGTCGGAAGTAAAATATTTCAGCAAGAATAATCCAACAGTAGGAAGTATAAGTTCAAGGTCCTGTTTCGTAAATGGTTTTTTCGGCACCAGATATTAGGAGATAGTATTTTATACTTATTTATTTCCTAACATAAACATGAAGTATAGAACAAGCAAAAAGACATTTATAAATACAAAAAACGTAAGTGATGCCATTCACAAAAAGAGTAATGTTATTTTTAATAGTTCGCTGGCTTTGCCGCAACACCTTGTGTTAAAATTTTAGAGTAACAGTATTATTCATTTATTTGTCTAGGGTCTTTGTATATATTTGAAACACTGTTTACATATACTGCAGTAAAATGATTTATTCGTAACAGAATTTATGACGAGTTTTCATTGAACGAATGCGATAAAAATAGCATTAAAACTTAATATTTTTTGTGTCGTAAAATGAGGACTAGACAAAATTTTTGTAAATGCTACTTTAATAGAAAGACTTTAATAGAAAGATTTGGAATGAATGTTTAAACCATAGTAATAACGGAAAAGGAATTTTTCAATTTTTATTTTAAATTCTAACTTGTAGCGTTTTATAGCAGGACAAAGCACTAACCTCCGAGCAATAACTCATTACATCCCCACCAGATATCTCCTAAAGTACCATGTAAATGTACATGTCCTAAAGTACCATCAAAATGTAAAGTCTTGTTATTACCAGAAGACAAGACATGGAGCGTCTAATCGCAGCTACAAATCTTCTAAAAAATAGAGAGTGTCTCATAAAAACACGAACATCAAGCCGATGGGAAAAGCAGCATCTAAAAGCATCTACTAAAAATTTGTTCCCGTTAGGCGGCTCCGTTTATTCGAGCTACTAAGGCATATTTTCCTATCCGCACACGCATTTTCCAAGTCAGCTTCTCTTCCATGCACGATTGCCTGATATCTCGTAATATGTCTGCTGAAACAGCTAAGAAAGGTTAGGAAAACCAGGGCTTGGAACTAATTTATGGAGCGGAGAGATTTCGCGTTATTAGCCTCATAAATGAAGGCGGATGGATACAGACGCTCGTAAAAAGGTCGCTGAAATTCTGTGGTGTTCTCTCTCTTTCTGCTCCCCCGTTTCCTCCTGGGTAACTAAGAAATGTATTCCTGGGATTGTAGTGTCGTCTTTAATTAAGGTTCGCTTCGCTGATAAAAAGAAGATCTCTTTGTCTTTTGTGAGGTACTTGCGCTTTTATTAGATATTCGTTTTTTTCTGGTTATAAAATAATTCCGTTTTTATTTTCCTTGAACAATAGCAGAATGGGATAATTAATTTAGTTTTAGTACTTCACAAGGAATTACTTAAGGATATTCATAACGGAGAGGAGATTTTTCCATAGCCTTAAGGAAATTAATATATTTTTGTGTTGTCATTTAGCATAAATTTCCAAACCTGTTTTTGATCACCGGTTTTATTCCATGGAAAAATAAAAATGATGGTTCGAGATCTTCGCAAGGAGATACTGGATTCTGCGATGTTGGTCCTTAACCAAATACTAATCAATGGAGAGTTTAGGTTAAAATAACACCCCGAAAAATGATTATTAGAGAAGTCAAACAATAAAAATCAACGTTATTTTTATAAGTTTTGCAGGACTACATTCGATTGGTTACTGCAGAACCATCTGCCAAAGTGCAAATAAGTGCCATTTACACTTTGGCAGCTCAGGGAAGTTGTTCTATAGTAAACCATCGAAACTAAACCTGCAGTATTTACTAAAATAACACTAATTCTTGTTGTTTGACTTCTCCAATAATTATGGAGAGTCACACTTAGTTTTGGTTCTCAAAGCATTTTGATTGCATAGTTAATAGTGCTGTAAAATTATTATTGACTGCTTGAGGTTTAGTTAAATTCACATAATCAGAATTACGTAAGAGTCATATGACAGATTTTTCTCGAAATAACGCAATGCAAATAGATGTTGCTATTTTTAGAATAGAGAAGGGAAATTAATTTACGCTGCTAATTTAATCTTTTACATATTCTTTATTTTTCTTACCTATTTATAATTTACAATTCTAACCCAGTTATGAATGATATCTGCAGAATTTTATATACATATATGTGGGAGTCATCAACGTCCAATGCTGAATTAGAATACCAGGATTATGACGTCATCAGTATAGCATCACCCAGCGCAGTAAGAGTCATCCCAGACAGCGCTGAGACCTGGTCGAGAGTGGAGGGCAGACGTGAGCAGACGGCTCACACGTCTTCAAGAGTTTATAAACTTATATTGTGCTTTCGATGTTATGCCTTTACATCATTATGTTAATCCTGCATACCGTTAACTTCATCTTTATATACTTTTTTTTATTTACTTTTATTTCTTTCTATTAAATAAACCATTTAACTATTACTTCGTGCTCTCATGCTGTGAATTAAGTCAAATTCTACAAAAAAATATGGCGACCAACCGTGCGGCCTCGAATTCCAAAATGTGCGAGTACATTAGAACTGTGCTTTGAACTGTGACTGAGTGAAAGTTATTCGATTTATTGGATTACTCGTATAAAGTGTGGATTACCCAATTGACGACGATCATCTGTCGGGTGAGTACAAAACTTTCTTTCCAATATGAAGTTAGTAGAAATTCCAGAATTGGAAGCAGCTTTAAAGAACAGTAAAAGTTCTGAAATCAAAAGTTTGCATAAGCTTATTTTTAATACTGATGGAGATCGAAATAACCGGAAAAGATTACGTGAATTTTCTGGCTTTATATTTAAACCAGATTCTGAAGAATTTAATAAGAAAATAGATACAGTGCAGAATAGTTTTACTTTGAATGAGTTAATTAAAATTTTGCAATGTACTGTGCATAAATTCAGAAGGTTTAAAAACGGAAGTCGTAACCCGAATTGTCTCTTACCTATGTGATTTATCTGTATTATTTGAAAATATTTTGCATGAAGAAAATAGTGATATTGAAGATGAAACTATTAATAAAATTTTTCTGAAGTAATGCTTGATGATAATCAAAGAGACAATCCTGGTTTTAATGAGTCTCAAGTAAATAACAGTATGCAGCTTCCAATTCAAGATCATTTTAAACCTCATCTTAGTTTTTCTGATATTGAAAGTATTGTTAATCCTTTTTCTGGTAATGCATATGAAAATGTTGATAAATGGATTGATGAATTTGAAGATGTTATAAATTCTTTGAAATTGAGTGATTTGCATAAATTAGTTTTTGCTAAAAGATCATTAAAAGGTAAAGCGAAACTATTTATTCAGAGTGAACCTAAAGTTAATGACTGGTGTAAGTTAAAAAAGCTTTTGAAATCTGAATATGGTAAAGCTTTTAATTCTGCTGAGTTGCATGAAATGTTATGTAAACGTAAATTAATGCCTAATGAATCTTTAGATGAGTATTTTTTGAAAATGAAAGAAATGTGTTCGCGAGGTAACATTGAAGATGCTTCATTAATTAAATATGTTATTGATGGTATTCCCGATTCTGTGGTTAGGAAAACTATACTATATGGTTGCGAAACAATATCTGAATTTAAACAAAGGCTTAAAATTTATGATAAAATGAGATCGGACAATGATAAGTTTAAAAAATCCGAAACCGAAAGTAGACACTCAAGTTAAAGATAGAAGTAAGCTTTCGTCATCAAACCGAAATCAATCTAACGTTAATAAGGTCAAATGTTTTAATTGCCAGGAATTAGGGCATTATTCTAAGCATTGTGTAAACAAATCAAAGGGTGTAAAATGTATAAAATGTAAGAAGTTCGGGCATTATTCAACGAACTGTCCAGAGCAGACCCCGAGACACAACAAGCAGCTTTATTACAACGAATTTGTGACAAGGATAGAATTAGGAAGACTGTAGAAATAAATAATCATTTAGTTGATAGTTTAGTTGACACTGGTTCAGATGTAACGATATGCAGCGTAGAGTTACACAAGCAGATTGGTTCTCCTAATTTAAATTGTAGCGATATCACATTAAACGGAATTGAATCAAAGCAAACGTACCCCATCGGCTTTTTCATTTCTGA